GAAGCTCATAAAATGCGAAAATAACATCCGATTGCATTCGGGCTTGGTACGTCTCAATATTTCCATCTACACCAGATCTGTTATAAAGATGGTAGAGATCGGAACATTCCTTCTGGCACCTCGCCCACAAAGGGTCAAAGTTTTCAATAACAAAAATGATCATAAAATCAGAAATAAGCATCCGCTTCTCTTCAAGTTACACACATCACAATATTTTTACTAACCCAAGTTCTGGTATGAGGATGGAAAATATCGTTCCGATCCTTCTGGTACCTACCTCGCAAAGGGTCAAAATTTAGAATATTCATGAAGCTCATAAAATACGAAATTAACATCCGATTACATTCAGACTTGGCACATCTCCATATTCTGTTATAAAGATGGTGGAGATCGGGTCATTTCTTTTGGTACCTCCCCTACAAAGGGTCAATGATTATAAAATCCGAAATAAGCATGTAGTTCTGTTCAAATTTAAAATTTCTCTTTCAAATTCCATTATTTTTTCTAACACAAGATCTGCTCTGAAGATGGGTTATATCGTTGCACTCCTTCTGGTACTTCCCCCACAAAGGATCAAATTTTTTAAATTACCAAAACTATCATAAAATCCGAAGTAAGCATCCAACTCTCTTCAAATTTTACACATCCAAGCATTTTTGCTAACACAAGAGCTGTTATGAAGATGTATACAAATTCCTTCTGGTGCCTTACACGCATAGGGTCACAATTTCCAATACTTATATATTTTATAACTTGCGAAACAATTCGGCGACAACTTGCTATATTTTAATAGTTCTCTTAACCAGAAATCTCGGAATTTATGATTTTGTATAAAAGTGACTATGAATGTTCGATTTCCTTTAAATTTTACACATCCCAATATTTTTATCTGTGTTAGATGGTACCTCACGTATATTTCCAAATTTTCTAAAAATTCAGTATAGGATGTAGTCGGTATAGTCCATATCTGGCACGTTGTAATATTTATATCAATTTGTGATTATTCAAACTGTTGACCCTTTATGGGGGAGGTTACGAAGCAGTTGACCAATATTGTACGTGTACGAATATTGTAGTGTACAAATTGGACAATATTGGCCAACTGCTTCGTAACCTCCCCCATAAAGGGTCAACAGTTTGAATAATCATAACTTAAGGCTGGGGGTATAAATCTGTCGGCAAAACCGACTGGTATTATTTAACTGTTATTTTTTTTTCTATTTTATTACAAGGCCCCTTATAGACATAAAAAACCACCTCGCTGCCACTTTCCACAATCTGCGGTTACCATTATTAGAGTGATGCGTTTACAACAGACCATAAACACAGCTACATTACGAGATGTAAATACACTTCAATAAATTCAATTACCACAGATACACGAGGTATCGTCCCGTAGTACGACAAAATCATCAGCAAAAGTAGTGGAATGATGATAAAACCACAGCTTCTTTTAGTAGAGGTTTAATTCAAAGTCTACATCTCCCTCTCTCAAGCTCATCAGAGAATCAGTAAAGAAAGTCTTAAAGTCGGGCGGGGCCGACTTAATGATACCCTACACCACTTTGCTAATTTAGTAGAGCTCCACATAACAATTAAAAGTTTTTATGGGAGAATTCAATCATACACGCTATGATTATAATTATAATTTAAAGTTCAAAGGACTAAACATGCCGAAGCATTTGTATCTTTTAAATTCGGACTTGTATTGACCATTTGGTGCACAATTAATTTGAAATCGGATAAATATATATATGGGAGCTATATCCATATCTGAACCGATCTCGATAAAATTTGGCAAAGATATTTCTGAGCTGTATTTGATATATTTCCCTGAATATCGTTGTCACGGAGTGCATATTACGGTTGTGGGTAACAAATATAACAAATCGGATGAATAATATATATGGAGGCTATAGCTATATCTGAACCGATCTTCACCAAATTTGACATACTAGCTTCTAGACTCAATTCGGTCGTATGTGCCAAATTCCATCCCATTTGGACAAATATTAGACGTTTGGTACACAATAAAAGGTAAATCGGCCGAAGTTATATATGGGAGCTATATCCAAATCTGAGCCGATGTCGATAAAATTTTGCAAGTGTATTTCTGAGCTGTATTTGATATATTTCCCTAAATATTGTTGTTGCAGAGTGCATATTACGGCAGCGGTGGACAAAAATAACAAATCGGATGAACAATATATATGGGAGCTATAGCTATATCTGAACCGATTTCGATCAAATTTGGCATACATATTTTCAGGCCTAATTTGGTTGTATGTGCAAAATTCCATACAATTCGGGCTGATATTACACGTTTGGTGCACAATAAAAGGCAAATCGGACGAAGATATATATGGGAGCTATATCTAAATTTTGACCGATTATCTCCAATTTCAATAGGGTTCGTCCTTGGGCCAAACAAATGATCTGTGCAAAATATCATCTGGATCGGGCAATAAATGCGACCTGTACTTTGTTTACAAAAATACATGGACAGACGGACGGACGGACGGACGGACAGACGGACGGACGGACATGCATAAATCGACTCAGAATGTGATTCTATGCAGATCATCAAAAGGAACTATGGGTCTATCTCGTTTCCTTTTGCCTGTTACAAACAAATGCACAAAGACATAATACCCTGACCACCTTGTGGTGTAGGGTATAAAAATCAACATTGGGAGCGAACACTGCGGCGTATACGTTACAAATATTTGATGTGAGGGAAAATACAACGAAAATATCACTCATACGTTCACGTACACGACGTGTACAAATAATCAATTGCACACGCACTCACGCACACACAAAGAGACAGACAACATTTGTACAAGTAAGTGTGTATGTAAACAATAAACACAACAAAACACACACACACGCCTCGTACCATGGGAATGCTGGGAAATTTGATGAATGGCATAGAAGTTCATTTGTTATCCACCTGCATTGCTTTTAGGTGGAATTTAACTTGGCGATGTTCGAAGACAACATCAACGATTGATGGGAATGGGAAAAGGAATCTGAAAGATGTATGTTAACTTTAATGGGACATTCATTCAGCGTTTGAGATGTTGATAGCTTTATTTTATTTAAATGTTGTTGACATCTTTAATTTATATTGTGGAACAAAATGTTTTAGTCATATATAGATGTTGTTACCGCCGAAATTGCGTGCAAAAATAAATAAAAATAAAACACGAACGTTTTAATTTTAAATTCAAAAAAAATATGGTAGATTTATTGGGATAAATAAATTAGAAAAAGGTGTAGGACAGATTACCTGTTGGTTGGTTTGGCAGCGAGAACAAGAGTAACTTTTTAATAATGTCGAAAGAGGCGTCGGCGGCAAATTTATACTCGTTAGAATCTGCATTTGACAGTTCAATGTTGTAACAAAAAGGAATATGCAGATTGTAACGAGTATAGCATTCGATAAAGTCTCAAACACAATGAATGTGGAGACGACAAAGGAAATTAATGAACTTATGATTCTAAATTAAACATTGGCCACCCCCTTGCAACATTATTAATGTTGTAACACAACCAACATAATAACCTTTTACAGATATATAAATATATAACAAATTATGATAGCAAAGGAAAGGAGGACAGTGCAGTTGTGAGCTGTTAATTTCAATTCAATTTTATTTTCAATATTTTCAAATTCAATAACATATACTACGGTTACGTGTAACAAACACCCGATAATACCCATCCAAATATTGTATAATGGGCTATAGGCAATCCTGGGGAGACTTGCACTCGACTGGTGACGACTTTAGCATACACATCGGGACCGAGGACTAAAGCAACACGACTCGGTCTGTAGAAGGATGGATCTGCTAGGGGTAGCCCTAGAAACGACTCTTTCAGCTTTTCAGATATGGGTTCCGTCGGTGTGAAAACGTGACGAAGATCAGTCACTCTGGCCGAAACTATGATCGATTGCGTCGGATCATACACTGAAGTGGCCGAAAATCGGCAAAAACGGACTCCATCCAAGCTCGACGTTGGTAGTCTCAAGTGGTCTACCATCGACGCACATATTTGGCTTTGTATAGCGCAAGGGTCTAATACGGACCGAACAGGTACTGGTGACCCGACACAGCGAATTTGCACTACCAAACTTGGTGAAAGTGTCGCCACCGATTGGAGGGACAAGAGGCTAAGGGAGGGCCCCGTGGAACTATTGACCAGTCTATCATCTACGGACGAACGTATCTCGGATCTAAAACTCGGACGAGACTCAGAACTTGTGTACGGACGGGACCTTGGACTAAGACGAGGACGGGATGAATAGCTGAGCTTGGAACTCTTACTAGGATCCTCATGCAATATATAATGATGGACCCCTCCACATTTGAAGCAGACCTTACGACTGTGGCATTCCTTGGCATGGTGCCATTTAGTTAAACATCGTGTGCAGTCCCGATGTGCATTAACCACCTGTATGCGAGCTTCTACAGGCATGGCAAGAAATTTTCTGCATGTAGCAAGTGGGTGCCGACGATTACAAACCCGACACCCGCGAGAATTCAGCATGGGTTCATTCAAAGAGTTGGATGAGCCCGCAGTTACGGACTCTGACATAATAGCCCTAGAGGATGATGGAACGACCATAGTTGGAAGATCACCCACAGTTATGGGATCAGGTCGTGGTCGGGTATTTTCCGCGATAGACGGTAGTACCGAAGAACCCGCAGTTACGGATTCAGATGAGTTTCCGCGAGATGGATCCGCAGTTACGGATCCCGATGATAATTTGGAGATAGGACAAATCATGGAATCCGCAGTTACGGACTCTGTTTCCGACTCCACTAGTTTAACGGCCGCAATGGGCCTTACCAGATTGTCAACCGCTTCGGATGTTGTACGCTTTTTGGCGGTAGTAATAGTATCCGCCTTCTCTAACACATCGTCGATTTTCGTGATTAGTTCAATATCGAAAATATTGGTGGCGTCCATTATGCTAAGGAAAAAAAAATATTTTAAATTTCTTCATTCGTCGATTGGTCGGTCAGAATGACCAACTTAGCTATCGGCCGCTTTACAACGCCGTTTGTCGTACGAACGTCCACGACACGAACATGTCCGTCTACACCGGGATAAACATTTATAACACGACCTAACTTCCATGAGGTCGGAGGTAGATTTTCTTGTCGAACGACGACTAAATCACCCCTATCTACTTCCCTTTCAGGGTACTTCCACTTGTACCGCATATGCAAATTTTTGAGATATTCCTCCTTCCATCTGATACAAAATTGATTAGCAAGCGCTTGGACTTTTCTAAACCGATTCACGAGCGAGATCGGTGATTCATTAACCATGGGTTCAGGAGGAGCAAGTAAAGGCGCGCCAATAAGAAAGTGACCTGGTGTTAAGGAAGCTAATTCACCCGGATCGTCTGACATAGGACAAAGCGGCCGCGAATTCAAACAAGCCTCTATGCGAGCTAATACTGTCGCCATTTCTTCAAAGGTAAACCGAAGATTTCGACAGTGTTTTCGGAAATGTTGCTTAAAACCTTTCACTCCCGCTTCCCATAGACCACCCATATGTGGTGCACCAGCTGGAATGAATTTCCATACGACTCCCTGCTGAACAAGAGCCTCTGAAGCTGAATCACAACTTTCACGAATGAAACGTCTATAATTCCGATCAATTTTACGTGAAGCTCCTACGAAATTTGTGCCATTATCCGAAAATATAGTACCTGGACAACCTCGACGCGCTATAAAGCGATGTAATGCGGCTATAAAATTGGCAGTGGACAAATCCGATACTGCCTCCAAATGAATAGCCTTGGTCGAGAAGCAAACGAATACACAAACATATCCTTTTGTAATTTTGCAAGCCCGACCCAAAAACGATTTTATCTCAAAGGGACCAGCAAAGTCCACGCCAGTTGTAGTAAACGCCCTATCGATAATTGTTCTTTCCGGAGGAAGAGCGGCCATTATTTGACTACAATGTTTCTTTTTATCTAAAATGCATACCTTACAATGACGAATGACAGAGCGAATCAAATTTTTTACTCTGGGAATCCAGTATTCCATTCTCAAGATACGAAGCATCAGCTGTGTTCCTCCGTGAACACTCTTGACGTGAATATATTCCACCAAAAGTCTAGCGAACCTACTTTTATATGGCAGAATAATGGGACAACGTTCTGAGGGTGAAAGTGTGGGTGACCGCGCCAAACGACCATCCATGCACATGACACCATTTTCCACAAGCATTGGATTAAGTGGAACTAAATGACTCGAGTGTGTCACGGGTTTTTTATCCATCAAATCCTTATACTCTTTAGCGAAGTGGACCTTTTGAGTGATGACTATCAACCGTAAGCGAACCTCATTAAATTCCGAAGTTGTAATATTTTTCTGAGAGTAATAATATTTACCTCGGTACCGAGAATGTGTTTGACGCAAAAATCTAAGCATGTAAGCGACAGCCCGAATACCTTTTACAAATGACGAATATCTGTCCAAAATATCTGTAAAGGTTGCCGAAAAGAATGAGAAATGACACTGCACCGAACGCATTTCTATGTCAGTCTCAAGCGGAGTTAAATCTCGAATAGACCAACTCGATTTATCTTGGCTGAGCCAATCTGGCCCATGCCACCAAAGAGAGCTAGAAGCTAACTCTGCAGGGGTTACACCTCGACTTCCAAGGTCCGCAGGATTATCTTCTGACCGAACGTGATACCAATTATGGTTGCCAACATTTTCTTGAATACTGCCGACCCTATTGGCAACAAATGTAGTCCAAGTTGAAGGTGTTTTTCGAAGCCATGATAAAACAATAGTAGAATCCGTCCAACAATATACTTGACGAAATTTTATGTCGATCTCCCTCACTATAACTTTCAAAAGTTCCGAAGCTAAGACTGCGCGACAAAGCTCTAAGCGAGGAAGTGAAATTGATTTTATTGGGGCCACTTTGGTCTTACTAGACAATAAATGCACGAACACATTTTGACCTGGTACTTCAACTCGAATATATACTACCCCCGCGTATGCCTTAATCGAGGCATCTGAAAACACGTGTAGTTCCGCGGAACATTGGGGGGTATATTGGACCCAACGAGGAATTTGTATTCGATTAACTTCATGGTAGGATTCAACAAATTTACGCCATTCCGAGTAAGTAGTTTCCACAAGGGGGTCGTCCCAACCGATTTGATCTAACCAGACCTTTTGCATAATAATTTTTGCCGTGACAATAACTGGCCCTAACCAGCCGACAGGGTCAAACAACTTAGCTATTGCCGAAAGAACTTCCCTCTTTGTATAACTCGATTTTTTCTCTATAGACTTGACATCAAAATAAAATGAATCTAACCTAGCATTCCACCTTATACCAAGAGGTTTAGAACTACTAGCTTCTACAAATGACAGCAATTGCGCATCTACCAAATGTTCTGGGGGGAAACAGCTCAAAATATTTTTATCATTGGCTGTCCATTTTCTAAGCTCAAACTTCGCCGATGAAAGTGCCGAAATAAGTTGATCCCTAGCTGTTACTGCTGTCTCAAGATCATGAGCACCGGCCAAAACATCATCCACGTACATGGATTTTCGCAATATGTGCGCTGCTAAAGGGAATTCATTTTCTGTTTCCTCCGCGAGTTGCAAAAGAGTTCTAATAGCTAAGTATGGAGCGCAATTCAAGCCGAAAGTCACAGTTTGCAATTCAAAATCTTGAATTGGCTTTATTGGCGAGTCCCTATAGAGAATTTTTTGAAGCGGAGTGTGTCGAGGATCTACTCGTATCTGCCGATACATTTGGGTTATATCCGAGTTAAACACGAATTTGAATACTCGCCAACGAAGTATCAGAAGAACAAGATCGAGTTGTAAAGTGGGTCCAACATGTAAAATATCGTTTAAACTATTCCCATTAGAAGTTTTATTCGAAGCATTGAAGACAACACGAAGTTTAGTTGTCTGCTTTTCGGGGTTAATTACCGGATGATGAGGCAAATAACAAGAGAGGCTGTCAAGGCTGTCAGCAGAAACTGACTTCATATGATCGAGTTCTAAATATTCAGTCAAAACTTGATCGTACGTAATTTTAACCTCCGGTTTTTTCAAAAGAGATGCTTCATTCCGAATGAACTGCTTAAGGACATTACCCCGAGATTCTCCTAAATACCTATCTGCATCTAAGTCAGTTCGTATGGGCAAGGTTACCATGTATCTACCGTCAGATAATCTATGCGTGGTTCGGACATAGTTTTCCTCACAAAGACGATCAGAGGGGGACAACATTTTTCGTTTAGGAAGCTTTTCTAACTCCCAGAATCGAAGCAAAGTTTTGTTAAGCGAATCCTCTTCTTCAACATTTATTGTGGTAGCAAAGGTTTGAATTACCGACGATGGAATCGGCCCAGTGACAAGCCAACCGAAAACTGTATTTTGTGCTAACAACGATCCGGACACAATAGAACGACAACCTTCCAACAAGATTTTAGGGTATAAATCTGCCCCAAGCAGCAGATCTACTGGACGTGAATCGAATAAATTAATGTCAGCCAAACGAATATTGGGAATATGCGACCTAAAATCTGATGAGACGGTGAACGAAGGTAAATTTCCAGAAATAAGTGGTAATACTAAAGCATTAGTTTCCAACAAGACCGATGAATCACAAGGACTTCCAATTTTTATCGAACAAACTTTGCGTGAATGTGCCGAAATTGCACAATTAACGCCCGAAATACTAATATTGGTTGAAGAAATTGGGAGTTTTAGACGGTTCTGGAGCCGCTCAGATAAAAAGGACGATTCAGAAGCAGGGTCTATCAACGCCCTAGCTGGGTAAGAAATTCCACAATTAATTAAGTTCACCATTGCGGTTCCTAAAAGCACAGATTTATTTTGTGCCGCGTGAAATACTTGTCGGGAATTACCATTAGTCGATGTAGCAGGAACTGCTGGATCGACCGAAGAACTTTGAGCACGATTTAAAACGTTATTACTATTTCTATTAGGAGAGGTTGGGGCCGAAGATGATTTAGAAGGCGAAGAATCGGTTCTATGCAACAATGAGTGATGTGTTCTACCACATTTAGAACACCGATGTTTGCTAATACAATTTTTAACCTCGTGACCATTTCTGAGACAATTCACACATAGGCGACGACGCTTAACGATAGAAAATCTTGTGGAGATCGACATATTTTTGAAACGAGGACATTCAAAAAGCAAATGATTATGTTGCGGGCAAAGAATACAAGAGCTATTTTGGGGGGATTTGAAATTATCCGATGACTTCGATTTTGTCATATGTGTTTGTACCTTTTTTACAACAGATTTTGTTGCCTGTTCACTTCCCCTCATATCATGCAAGCACATTAAAGTCCGAATCCTTTCAGTCAAGAAGCTATCCAAATCTATCCATAGTGATATTGCCGATTTGTCTTTTACGCTTTGTTCCCACAACGTTTGCGTAATTTTTGGTAACCGCTGAAGACACAAGAAAACCAAAAATGGGTCCCAATTTTCAGTACGGATGTCATAGATGGACATCGCCGACAAACAAGCATTAATTCCACGTTGTAGGGTTTTTAATCCCGATGCGGATTCATTTTGTAATATTGGCAAAGCGAAAAGAATTTTAAATTGGTTGTGGACAAGTAACCGAGGATTGTCATAATTATCTTTTAAAGCTTTCCACGCAAGACCGAAACTGCGGTGAGTCAACGGAAATCTCGAGATAATTTCTCGAGCCTCTCCACTAGTTTTGCGCGTAAGATGGCAAAGACGCTCTATATCGCTTAAACGCGAATTATTTATGTACACCGTGCTAAAAAGGTCTCTAAACGTGGGCCAAGATTGAAAATCTCCTTCGAAAACATCTATATCACACGGAGGAAGCGCTAAGCTATGCATAATGTCATTATTTGGAGGATCAATTAAACTCTGATGAACACTAGGATTCCCAATATTCGACATTGGGGAGCTAGTCTTACCTACTTCCTGAGAAGTATATGTAGCAGAGTTCCCTATCTCTAAAGCTACATCAGAGGACTGTAATTCTTGAGGAGTATTACAGGGATGCTGCAAAAGTGAGACTACTGAACTACTACGAGAGGAGTTCAGCGATTTTCTCGAACCTCGAAATTCTAACAACCTATTATTTATATCTGTTAAGCATTTCATATATTCTTGGTGCACGACCTCATATTTATGATCAGCGGACTCGATCATTTCTTTAGTGGAGTCCTCAGACGTTTCCAAGAAGAGCATACATGTATCGAAGACATCCTGGGTCTTTTTCCAATATTTTTCTAGCTCGGCGCTACGAACTTCTAATGCACAGAGGTTGATTTCCTCTGGTTTCATTGCCCGAACCTGTTCCACGAACCTGACGAAGGTATCCGAAACCCGGATGAAGCTGTCCAATGGAGTATACGACATATTTAAAAGTTTTATTTAAATAAGGAACAACAATCAAATAGTTCACAAGATTTTTTTTTTTTTTTTAAATTTTGACGACTTTCTTTGAAGAAAAACTCAAAATGTTCACGAAGAATTTCCGTAGGCGATCAGAAATATTCAATTTAGTTTTATCAAATGATTTTATTCTTTTCGAGAGAAACCAATTTCTTCTGGAAAAGAATAAATATCAAACAAATTGTGCACAAATTCCGACAAAAAGTTGAAAAGATTCCAAATTTCAAAAAAAGGCGACCTAATTCTTCACGAGAGAAACCAATTTCTTCTAGAAAAGAATCAAAATCGAACAATTTTATTTAAAATTAGGCAAAAATATTCAACGACTTCAATTTTAAACGAACCCGACCTAATTCTTCACGAGAGAAACCAATTTCTTCTAGAAAAGAATTAAAATCGACCAAAATTTCCAAGAATTCTTAAAAAGATGTATGCCAACAGCAGGATCTAATATGAAGTTTTACCAAACAATTAATAAAACTTCCCCAGATGCTAAAATTTTCCCGAAATTCTTAAAGAAAATCAACGAAGGTTTTTTAATAATGGCACAAAAATTACCAAAATGATCAAAAACTGTAAAATTTCCGACAAATACCCAATCAAATTCTTGAAATTGCAAAGAAATTCCAAAATCCAATCAAAAAGTGACCGAAATGTCCGAAAAGAAATCAAAAAACAAGCTTTTTTCCAAAAATTTGAACGAAAAAATCCAAAAAAATTGCGAAAAACAACAAAATATTTAAATCTTTGTGCATAGAAACTATATAAAATGTTAA